GAGAACGGCATTCTGTGTCTCTTATAGGTGAGGTGGTGTTAAAATGTTTTTATATGATGACTACTGATCTTTTCCTCATCTCCTCATTATTCACCAGAAATTTCTCATTGCTAGAACTGACAACCCAGCGTAGGTAGCTGTAAAATCATGATTGATGCCTTCGGTGGTATGATAATCTGGTTGGGTAGTTCTTGTTTGATTTTGGGAAGACCTTCAAGGTCATGTGGTCAGTCAGACGTTGATTATTTATTTGCCATTTAAATTTCTGTTGATGTGTAAACGACATATAACATACTCTGTATTGTGAATAATAAAAGTAGTTGTTGTTGTTGTTGTCACGTTTGCTGCAGCCAAATATGACTTTTGTTTCTATCTCAACGTGGGGAATATTTTCAGGTGATTAGTTGGCTGTAGTGTCGTGTCTGGAGGTTCATTCTAGCCAAGTTAGACGATAACCACAAAAGCAGTTACACTCCGTCAAACACACACTTAAGAGAGTGGTGTCTAAATGATGAAAAATCCACATCTTTGTTGACTGATTTCATTTGTTGTAAATGCCTACTTACTACTAGTTTAAAATCACTTTTCCTTTCCCTTTCGAACTAACAATTCTAAGAGGGTAGGAGTGATCGTAAGCCTATTATTTATTCATGTATTCTGCCCTTAATGAAAGTGTCTTACAGCAGAATTATGTACATGTCGTTCATACTTTCAATAATGTCAGAGTAGAATTTGCACACTGTACTAGAGTGTAATCCCATAACACACAACGGTAAAGTATTGATGATTGGCTGACGTTTCGAGAACAATCTATTGCTCATGATCACATTATATTATCAATGGTACAATTCGCGAAATTGAAATTATCACGACAGCAAGTTTGAGAACTATGGGCATAGAGTGTGCGTTTCTAAAACTGCTTCCTGTGATATTTAGATGGACTTAGTACGACTTATCGATAGAAACTCATTTTGTGTTAGGTGAGCTTATTTTCTTACAGGATTTCATTATGAGCTGACATTAGTTAGAGAACCATTGGAAAACCTGGGAGTACTGGACAACTGTTTCGTCCACCGGGGCTCGAACCCACGACCTTCTGGCTACAAAGCGGGCTCGTATACCATTAAGCTGCTAGGAAGTCGTGACCAGTAGGGTGCAGCAGGTCGGGTGTGAGGACAAATACTCGCCGAAGACATTGGCTAGGGTCACGCTATGTCGTGAATTGACAGAAGCTAGAATTCATGGGCCATCGGGTTGAGTCACAGTGGCATAATGGTCTATGAGGTCGCTGGCCTTGTAACCAGAAGGTCCTGGGTTCGAAACCCGATGGATGCGTGCTACTGAAGAGTCCCAAACTAGGACGAGACAGCTGTCCAGTACTCCCAGGTTTTCCAATGGTTCTCTAATTAATGTCAGCTCATGATGAAATCCTGTAACCAACCAACCAAATCCCTACAAACGAACACTTGTGCTTATTTTCTCTTTATTGAGTTGTATTAACTGCAGGTCTAATTGTAGAACACCTTTTCCGACCGCAAACGAAAAAACTGTTTTACCAAGCAACTCTGAAAAACAGTATTTGCAAACGGAACGCAAATAAACCAATTAGTGAATGGCTTTGTACTCAGGTTCAGAGCTCCAGCAAGTTGATGACTGATATAGTTACGTGATGAAGACGACTGGAGATCAGTATCTAAATCTCAAAGCATCTATTTGTATTCTTAACTTAAAAGTTCGGTATACTTCTTAGTTGTCTTAGGTGCTTAAAAAAATTTTTTTTAATGGGGGGGCTTTCTTTCTAGTCGATTTTAATTTAGTTTCACCACTTCTGTTTTAAAGTGGAAAAGATAATCGAAGTGCTTTAGAAAGGCGAGTAGCCATTTTGAGTTATGCAACTGATGTGCCTATTAAACTTCATTCACTTAAAATGTGTCTGGGGTGTATTTTGAAGACAATAAAGGATTATTGTGCCTAATCTACATGCTAATTTGAAAGCTTTTCTTAAGGAAATGACTATTCTGCGTTGTCGTCTTCAGACAATCACCAATGAACTCGACGTACACTGAAAAGTCAGTTGGCCAGGAACAGCTTTTTACAGTTCAAAGAGTCTAGGAACTTTCTGTAGGAAAGGACTATGTAATTCAGAATCTACTTTCCATGTTTGATGATGCTGATAAGATTTAGTCACATTCTTGATACAGTTCGTAATTTCACAGACAGGGGATAATATTAGATTTACTACTTTTTAAATTGTTCAGAGAATAATCACAGAGCAAATTGTCTAAACAATAGCCTATCATTTAATATATGTATAAAACTTGGGTACTGTGGTAGTAAGTAATTCCCCTTAAAAGCCACTCAAAATCTAGACTAACAAATTCTAATGAACTAGAACATGGATTCGATAATTTAAAATTATGCAGTGAAGGATGGTTAGTTTATACATTGTCAGTCTATATGCACATGGACCAATAAATATGGCTATAGAGGCAGTCGGAAACGAACTCATTTCTGACAGAGAACTTGAACTTAGGACACTTGAGGACATAATGCTGGGGGTGCAGCTATGCCTAACTTCCACAGTATTTAAGTTTCAAGGGAAAATATACAAAGAAACTGAGGAGGTTGCCATGGGGTCACGAATATCGCCAATTATGGCAGACATATTCACGGATAAGTGAGAAAATTTAACGATTCAAGCGTTCAACCACACTCCCAAAAGTATGGTGGGGGTATGTAGATGACACATTCACCACACTTAGAACACAGGATATAAATAGATTTTTCGAACATATCAATTGAAAGGTGGAGGCAATTCAATTCACTTATGAATTAGAAAGCCAGCAAGGGGAGCTCCCAGTGTTAGTTTGTAGCGTGAAAAGGAAAGAAAATGGGAAGTTAAACACTGTTGTTTACAGGAAACCTGCACATTAAAGCCGATATTTGGATTTCCGATCATCTATACCTATGTCATTAAAAATAAGGTTGGTGAAATGTTTAAGTAATAGGGCACAAAACCAAGTGGTACCAAGGGAAATCTAAGACAGGAAGTGAGGCATTTAGGAGAAGCTTTGAAACTTAATAATTACCCTGATAAATTAATCAGGAAGTGTGTAGGGAAATGTGAACATAAAATTGATAATAATAGTAGTGATGGTGATAATAATGATATTATTATTAATGATGGCATGCATGTCAAACGTGTACAGGATAATGACAACACCAGCATTAGGGAATATAAATCACCAGTAGTACTTCCATACAAAGAAGGAACCTCGGAAGCCTTACTCAAAATTCTTAACAAGGCAGGAATAAAAGTGGCTGGCATTCAAACCAACAAACTCAATTAGAAACAAGCTTTGTCGGTTAAAGGATCCTATGGAGCCAATTAAACAAAACGATTTAGTTTATCTAATACCCTGCTGTAATGATTCTCAGGTCAAGTATATGGATCAGAGTAGTAGAACAGGGTCAGTCAGACTAACGGAGTGTGAAAACCTAGCGAAATCTAGATTAGTTGACCCTAATAAGATAAGGAATCTGGAGAATAGTTCAGCTATAGCACTACACCCCACGCAATTACACACAACCATACCATAGGATGGGATAAGATGACAGTTTTAAAATCTAATGTAACAGGGTGGGGAGGGGAGATTGATAACGGAAGCCTTATTTATCGAATCAACTGCAAACACGCGTAACAGGAGTGATTCAACACCTGTCCCAGACATCTGGAAAATTCAACTACCCCTAGAAAAAGTAGGAAAGAACAAAGGAAACTGTAAAACCCAAGTTTCGAAGTCATGTGATTATAATTGTGTTATGATTATGAACAATAAATTGTGTTCGAAAGGTCATCCAGTAAATAATACTGTTTTACTGTGTAGTATGTCTAATAAACAAATTAATATGGAATGGCCTATGATTACCTGATATCAGTTACATATATTTTCTCAAACAAGACCATAAATCATAACTATTTCCTAAGAAAGTTGACGATGCTAGTTGGCAGGTAGATAGGGATTCAAACTGATGACGTAAATTGGAGCGCGTAAATCTACTACACAAACTCTTATCTAAAATGATAGTAACAGTGGCATAAATACTGAGTTTTATCATTTTAAAACATTGACTACTTTTCAAAACAAAAATAACCTGTTGACAGTGTTAGTTGAGTGTTTTTCATGGATTTTGACAATAAATCAAAACAACTGTTCATTTTCAGTTATGCTTCTGTAGTAAGGATATCAGCTGTCAATCAAAACACATCTTTAGGCGTTAATTGTATTCATCACTCGCTGACACGAAAAGCGATTATTAGTTCAACTCGGTGACATTTCCATCATAAAGTGATGTTTTTATGAATCAGTGAACGCTGCTGAATGATAATAGTAGTAATCACATTAAATTATGAATTGAAAAAGTGTCAAATGAATAATTCTAAATCAAAGCGTCATTCTACACATCAGTCTCCATCCACCATAGTAGTAGTTAATTCAAAGACAACAGCTTGAGATAAAAACAGCTTTTAGTAGCAGTTTCACATTATCAGCAACAGACAATCACCACTATTCTCACGCATAGAATTCCACTTTATTTATTTACTTTTTTTTAACTTTCATATTATCATCTATAAGTTTGATGTCTGACATTTATTTAGTCGGTATAACATATAAGTAAAACAAACATCAGTTAATGGTGAGGTATGACAATATGAAATGATACTCTGAAATTAATCAATATTGAGACTGAACATTTCGCATGATAACCAATAGAACAGATTAGCTATGATGAATGATACAAAAAGAAAATTATTATGCAAAGTAGTGAATATAGTTTAGACACGCACAAGAGTAAATAGTGACAAGAATGACGGTTATTGACTGAGGTAAGCATGCTGGAATATATATATATATATATATATATATATATATATATATCATATATCTGCTTTTATGGAAGCAGTAATTCTTTTAAAACAGTGTGTGTTTCAAACTTACGAAGTCGTCTTGGGCCAATACGAGATACTGAAAACAAAGCAGAAAAAACACAAAGATTACAATGAGGTAGAAAGAAATTCAGAATTTACTGGAATATTTATTTTTTTTCAGGAGAAAAGTGTAGAACCAACAATTAACCGGCTGTTATGTCGACAGTCGCCCTCGTCTACTTTTGTTGTTAATAATCTTTTCCGCAGAAAATGTCTAAATACTATTAGAAATCAAATGTCGTGTTGTAGAGTGTTAGTAGTAATAAGGTGATATACACTGATAGATTGTTGGTTTAATCATCAAGCTCAAAAACAAATAAGAGTGAAGTGGTTTACTTAGGTAAATCAGCTTTATAAAGAACATACGTTTCACTAAGATAGTGTGGTGATTTTCAAGCTGATAACAGCTTTCACAGTTGTTCCCATATTTCTCATAGAGGAGTTCGGCTTAGTTGGTTGACCGTGACGCAGTTGTCTATAATATCCTTTTTAATATCATTTAATGTATGATGAATACGAAGGAATTTTAACTAGGAATGTTTTGTGCAGTATCATAGATTTAACAAGTTGTTGATGTAATCATAATAAACTTAGAAGTTTGATGGCTACATCTGTGACTTTGTTAAAAGTGAGGTTCCTGAATACGCCTTGTTGTTCATTGCCAACAAGTGTAACGCTTTTCGAAAATAATGACCACTTATTGTGCATGACTGCTGACATATATTGTCAAGTAAGGGTGTGCGAGGCCGTATGACTTGGTGATAAATCGTCTACTATTAATTCTTGAAAAGTAATGTTTTTTCTATGCTCAGCTGCAAGTATTCCCTACTACTGAGTTGAAAAAATAGCAATTAGTCGTAACGCATGGATTAGCGACCTATAGCAGGAGACAGTACCTTTTGAAAAGTCAATAATAAAAGGAGTCTAAAAACAACCAGTAAAAATTACAGAAAAATGAACAAAAGGTCAACTGTTTTGAAATAGGACTTCAGATATCGTGTGGCTTTCTCAACAATCAGCTGTCCATTATGAAAGATAGATTTTAATATAGTTTATCGGTGAAATACAGTAAAAGCTTAGCACAGTGGCTGGCTTTAACGGTTTTTTCCGTCACAATTTAATTCCTCTGGACTATGGACTCGGTAATATGCTCAGAAACCAGTATTGATGTTGTTTTTCGCGTTTCAGATGCAATCGGTGAATACACTACTCTCTGCTTTGGCCTAGTCCTCGTTAGTATTTTCCTACTCCCTGAGCATTAAACGTTGAGATGGATAGCAGTAGATGTGTAAACAAATAGAATACATTTGTCGAGCATATATATATATATATATATATATATATATATATATATATATTGAAAACAATTTTATTGTCAGTGGTTAAATTTATTGTAAGCTCTCACTTTAGTTTTCATTTAAGTGGTTTTACAAATACGCATTACCTGTGAACTTTTAACAAAGAAACAGAAAAGTAATGCGAAAGACAGGTGTTTTTTGAGCGATCAAATGATATAGTCTAAATACCCCCAGTGTGCATGAGCATCACTTGGACACAAGTGAAAACGAAAAATGCTTGATAACAATAGACCGCATATCATATCAGCATGGAATCATGAAAATGCAATTTTACATGTTTAACTCTGAAGTCTTTAGCCTAGACATGACTATGAAGCAAGATTTCCTGTCATAGACTATCAAGCTGTCTGAAGCCGTTCGAATGAAGACCTCTGAAGAAGAATATGAATTTCATTATTTAATTTCGGATAAGTAAATAATTTATTACTTATGTGATAACGTGAACATAGCAACACTACAATACGCGTTGTTGTTAAGGTATTATATAAGCCTACTCAATATTTTAGGTAATTTGCTTGCTTAAAAAAAATATTTATCAGATACCTAATGATATGGGTGGATTTGTTTCTGTGATGAGATCTCATTTTCGAGAGACAACTTTAATGTGACGAAGACTCTCACTAATAATTATTATTATCTCCTTTAGTGCCTAGAGGAACATAGGGATACAGCCATAATACGTATCCATTGCTTTCGGTTCTGTGCCAAAGTTTTCACCTGACTCCACGTCTGTCAGCATGCTTTCATCTCCTCTTTGCACAACCACCTCCATGTTACCCTCAAACGACCAGCTAGCCGCTTTCCATTCGGGCTCCACTCGAGTGATGGCCTGGCGTGGGATGTTGCTTGACGGTTTTCTCTCAGTATGGCCAATCCAACTCCATTTCTTCCTGCATATTTTTTGCACAATTTTCTCCTGGTTGGTTTGTTCCTAGAGATCTCTATTTCTAATCTTTTCTGGCCATCTGATCTTGAGTACTGAACTCTTGCTAAAAGTACACTTAACCGCAGCAAATATAAAATTTCGAAAATAGGTATGATATATAGATTAATTGGTTGGCTAGAGGACAGCGTCGGTGGCATAGCGGTTAGGACGGTCGCCGACCATGCGCATGGTCCAGGGTTCAATCCCCGGCCGGCGCACTCCTTTACCTAACTCAGCCAGAAGTAAAGCTAGGGAAGAGGAAAGGTTGGGCATGAGGCTAGCCTGTAAAAATAAACACTGCTACTGAAACTTCAAGCCTCTAGCTTGAAGCTATGTATTCCACTGGGAACGTGAAGGAAAAAAAAACTAGTGTTAGACAGGTCATCTCTATTTCATGTTTCAGCACTTATTTAGACTCACGTTTTTTTCCAATTCTAATTATTAACTTCGGATATGAAAGCCAATCAGTCAGCTGTAAGGGTTTAAGAAGACCTAGCTGACTGCAAACGGTCTACTCCTTTTCTAATCGTAAACATATTAATATCGGTTAAAGATGTGATTGGGAATATAATTTGTAATAAAAATTCAGAGATAGGTATTTTCCAATCAGATGAAAGATGTCAAGAACAAGCAGCCTTTTAAATAACTCTGGGGTGTAGTTCATACTTGTGCTTTGCAGGTTAGTTTGTAGATTATCAGACCAGTAAAAAGAATGCTAATGGCTTAAAACTTATTACAACTCTGATTATTTTATTTGTGAACACCAAGCCAATAAAAATCCCGTAATCTCATTAAAATGAAGAATAAATGTTTGGAAAGCATACTAATGTAAATAATCTCAAATTATTTAAAATACCTGTAAATGTCAGATACGTGCATAGTTTGTACATAGACACAGCATATGTTTGTTAGTAGTCCTCATCTTTCTGTGTATGTGTGTGTGTGTGGTTGGGAAAATTTATTTTTATAGCCTTATTTCTCATTTCCACAATTTTATGCATGAAAGTCAAAAAAAGATATCGGATAGGAAAGAAGATTAAGATGGTCAGTTTATACCATCTGCACTACAGGTGAATTAACCCAATTATTTAACTCAAGCTGATAAAAGCCTAAAATTTAAAGATTTTATTTAAAACGTAATCTGGCTGCCTGCTTGAATTTCCAACCTACATAATGCGTCATAGTTTTCTCTATTTCTTATTGTCGTAACTATTCAGTTATGTCCTTGAGTCGCGAAATGTACTCACGAACATTTTCAGTTGATTTTCAAACGGGTGTGCACTTCATGGGGACGAATGAGAAACATAATAAGGGATTAGTCTACGCTTCAATTCTAACAGTGTTGCGTCAGGTGACTACAATTTTACTTGAAGATCCTGAATGAGGGGAAAATATTACGCAATAAATTATTCTGAGAGTTCTGTCTACTCTATAGACATTTTGTTCAGGCCAAAGACATTTACTTTTATTACTAATTATACATGGTGGCCCACATAGATCACTGGGCTACCAGGATTTCCAACCATCAAAATGCTCAAACTCTTCTACATTTCTTATTGCTTTAATCATGCATTTATATCAAATAACCAATACATGAACTCGTGCGGATATTCAATTAGCTTACCACTAAACGCTGTGCAACCTTTGAAGGAAATTAGGAGAAAAAGTGTACAGAATTGTCTCTGTTTTCATTTGGAACAACACTAGGTCACATGATATACTTGAGATGATTACTTTACGCGTGAATCTTGAATGAAGAGGGGATTTTTGGAACTGAATGCTCTGTAAATTCCTGTATTATATGTTCACATATTGTCCGAAATAAATATATATGACGTATTATTATTCTCATATTTGCATTGTCAAGTGTCAAATCATATGAGTTATGCGGGAGCGAGTAGAGTCCACCAACACGCTCATTCTGGCTTTCTTTTAAATGTCTGTAAGGCAGCCTTTAGTGTCACAAGTATGCTAGTCATTTCAAAGATTCGTGACAATATTTTGTCCAACGTTACATAATGATTTCATGGCAGAAATTTTTTCCTATCACTCCTCTCTGAATAATTATTAGCCGATCGCAATATTGTACCAAATGCTGAAAATTCCACACTATAACATTAGTGCTGTTCTGGAATGAAACATACCATTATTATTAATAAAATATCATACTACTTACAAGTAGCTTAATTTTTTAAGCATCATTCTTCATTCGATTTGGGAAGAAATATGGATATGTGCGTTAATTTTAATGAATCGCTAGAAAAGTCCAAGTGTTGATGGTTACTAATATACAATGATACGCTGCAATTGTATTTTATGTTTTGGGTAGTATATAACAATATAAAGTCATTTTCTAGGAGGTTGATGGTATATTTGTGTAACATTACACCATCCATAGTTTTTCCAGTATGTCAGGCAAACAAAATTCTTGAAAAGTGTTGGTAAAGTCAGTTTTATTCTGGTAATTAGCAGCTCATGACTAGACATGGGGCGAAGAGTTAAGTTGAAATGTGTAAGGTACATATTTTCAGTGGAACGTTCAACATTTCGTTTTATAAACCTGTAATGCTCTGATTACAATGCGTTATCTTTTTGGCTCTCTAAAGGATATTAAAATAGTGAGCGAAAATCCTACACGGTATACTACTAATCGATATAAATACATGATGACCATTACTGAACACAGAATTCCTATAGTCAGTCATAAATGGAAGAAATAACAGCAAATAAAATTTGTCTGTTTTCGATTTGCCG